GAGAGAATTGTTACATAGCAACAATTATGAAGAAAGGCTTTTCCAACTCTCCTCTACAAAGCTGCTCTTATAGATCTGTCACAAGCAGGATTTAGATATAAAGTTTAAAGTCACTACAGCCCAGCCCTTTAAACAAACCTATGTGTAATATATCACTACAAAGTGAGTTACAAAGAACTTGTTTGCTTTGAATTAGAAATATCAATGGAAAGCATCCCGGCTTCCTTATTAATAGGTAATCCTAAAGCACTAAATACAAACATTATCAGGGCATAAACCATCTGTTATAAGAAAAACATTTTATTTTATTTGACTAGCATAGTCTTTTGTAATCAAAGTTTTTATCTCCCTTTCCTAGATAATAGTTATGAAGTAGAAAGCCCACAATGACATACTTCTTCATGGTACCTTCTTCTTTTCTACTTTATTTTTCTTAGATGTCCTTAATAGTAATAGCCTCATATGCCTCTTGATTTGGGGACTTTAGCTTTGTGTCCAGGATAAAAGTAAATGCAATTTAAATGGATGTAAATAATTTTTATTAATCATTACAATACTTTTATTAAATGTAATTCCCTTACCTCTAGCTATGCAGGGGCCTCTTAAAATCCTAAATTCGGTCTCATTCTGGATTATATCCTGTTTTTTTTTTTTCCCTTTGCACTGGCAGTGTAGCCTTGAACAGGTTTCTTAACCTCATTTTGCATTATTTTTCTTGTTGGCAAAATGAGGGGTTAGACTGTATCCAGGTTAAGTCAACTTAGTAGTGTGAATTCAACTATGAGATGTTCTAAGTAAGAAGTTATTCAAATGCAGTATGTAAAAGGCTAATGAAAGAGACAATGAGGTTGAGTATATTTAGCATAGAAAACAATTTAGTTTTGCTGATAAAGAACCATGGTGACTCTGCCCAAGTATTATTACTTAATGATCTTAGTCCTTAAACTTGGCAAAGAAATGCACTGAATGATACGGCTAGTCTAGTCACTCTTTCTGTGGAAAGATTACGGAATACTCATTGAAATCAAGGGGAGAAACACCCCTCAAGATTCCTTTGCTCTCTTTCTACTACAGACTGACATTATATTAGCTGACATTATATTGCACTCCACATCAAAGCTGAGGAACCTGCAAAAGGAAGCAATGGAGTGATTTAGTACTTCAGCATTATACTTCTAGAGTGGTGGAGAGCAAAATAAAATGTGTATGTTGATTGTTTTTAATGTAAAAATATGGGGGGCGTTGTGGGGAGGGTAATTTTTTTTTTAGATTTTATTTATTTATTTACTTACTTGATGAGAGAGAGAGAGCACAAGGGCAAGCAGGGGGAGCAGCAGAGGGAGAGGGAGAAGCAGACTCTCCAGTGAGCAGAGAACCCTATGTAGGTTCAATCCCAGGACCCCGGGATCATGACCTGAGCTGAAGGTAGACGCTTAACTGACTAAGCCACCCAGGCACCCTGTAAAAATATGTTAAAACTATTTTGCTTACAGAATCCTCACTACAATCTGTGGACCTCTTTTCCCTCTTCTACATTATTTTTTACATTTTATTCTAGGAATAAGTCTTGTCAGTGAATAGGGATGTCTAGAAAGCTGCTCATGTGAATTTTAGATTCTTTGTTCAGATCATATTTAAGTAAATTTCTGAAGTGGTTCTAGAATAACATTTTCCTTTTTTACTTCCTACTTTTTTTTTTTTTTCATTCATTGAGGAAAAGGTCTCAAGTGTTCATTTATAAATCTTTAAACTAGATATGGTGGGATGCCTGGGTGGCTCACTCGGTAAAGCGTCTGCCTTAGGCTCAGGTCATGATCCCAAGGTCCTGGGATCGAGCCCCACATTGGGCTCCCTGCTCAGCGGGGAGCCTGCTTCTCCCAATGCCTGCCGCTCCCCCTGCTTGTGTTCCCTCTTCCTGAGAAATAAATAAATAAACAAACTAGATATGGTAAGGCAACCTGAGTTTCTTCTCTGAGATAGTATCATCTTGTTGTTAGCTAAAGGATGGATAAGTACCTGACTTGTAGCTCTGATTTTTCTTCTAAAGAGTTGGTTTAGTCTTTTTTTGTGTGTCTCTAATCCATGCCATGAAAATCAACGTAAGTAGAACCCATATATGCCAGAAAAGGAAATGAGACCCACACTTCATTGTAGCATCATAACTATAAATCAGTGTAGAGGCTGGCATCTACACAATAACGGAAAAGGTTCCAAATACTTAGAAGTCTGAATTTAAAAATAGACAACAAAGGTGTATTGAGCAGCTGCTACTAGTAAGACTATATTTTAGGCACTGTGGGGGATACAAAGATTAAACAAAGCCTCTGCACTCAAAGACTTTACAGCCTGCTGGATGTTGAGGAAAGGGGGAGATGAATGTGTGCACAGGTAACTACAGTAAAAAGTTAAATATATCAAATGGCAAAAAAAGCACAGGCTATTGGGAATTTCAAAGAAGCAAAATATCTCAACCAGAAAGATTTAAAAAAAAAAAAGAGGGTTTCACAGAAGTGGGGTTTGTGATTGGCCCAAAGGATAGAAAGGGTTTCAAGAAATAGAAGTGAAAGGATGAGGGCATTCTGAGGCGCCTGGGTGGCTCAGTCGACTTAAGAGTCTCCCTTCAGCTCAGGTCATGATCCCGGGTCCTGGGATCGAGCCCCACGTCTGAGCAGGGAGCCTGCTTCTCCCTCTCTCTCTCTCTGTCCCTTTCCCTGACCTGAGCACGTTCTCTCTCTCTCAATCACTCACTCAAATAAATAAAATCTTAAAAAAAAAAAAAGAAAGAAAGAAAGGATGAGGGCATGGTAGGAGGTACCTATAACATGGATAAAAAAGCAAAAAGAAGGGATTTGATGAAGAGTACAAAATAACTGTAAAGAGTGGTTGAAAAGTTGGGTCTATCATAGAGATAGATCCTTTTGTGGCAGATAAACTTACTTCAGTGGACAGTGAAAGTCATTTAAGTTTTGAGCAGAGTACTGTCATGAAACCTGCACTTTAGGAAGATTAGTCTTGCAGAAATCTGGAGTCAGATCTGATCCTGTCTTCCACCAGTCCTTCCAGTCCTTCAAAAGCTTCCAACTGCTCTTAAAGAAAAAACCTCTTATTGTGGCCTACATGGCCCTGCGTAGTACAGCCCCTTCTTATCCAGCCTTCTCTCACACCACCCTACCTTTTTCTCTTTCGCAGAACATTGACCTTCTTTCAGCCCTTCTCATCACAGCCTCACCATAGGACGCTGGTTGTTCCCTCTGTCCAGAATATTCTTCCCTCCCCTCTTCCTTTGGTTAATTCCCCTTCATCTTTTAGAACCTGAGGAAACTTCCTCAAGAAATTTTTCTTGACTTCCCTGACTAGAGCAGATATCTTTACAAATAGACTTTAATAACACCATGCACTTATCTTTCCTACACTTGTCTTGTTTTCAGTTTTATATGTAATTGTATGATTATTTGATTAATGTCTGCCTCTGTCTTTCAACTTGAAGATTGTAGGGACTGGTTCTTTGTCTGATTTTATTCACCATTATATACCCAGCACTTAGCATAGTGCCTAATTATAGATTTATAATATCTGGAAGTGAATGAGTGAATTAATGTATGAATGAGATTAATTAGCATACTATCCTTTCGTACTCCTTCCCTCCTGCCTACAACTGCTTATTCATCTTTGAAGTTTAAAAAACAAAACAGAAAAAACACCTATCCTTTGTCCTTAACTTCACTGACCCCCTCAGACTATTCCATTAGCAAACTTCTTAAAGACCTAGTCTGCTGTCAGTGATTCTACTGCTTTTCAGTAATCTCTTGCATTCTTATTCTTGCCCACACCATTTATGAAATTGATTTCTCAAAGACTCTAGTAGTGATAGTGTAGTTAACCAAAGAGTACTGAGGCAGTGAACTAAAATGATGACAAGGAAAATTAAATGGGAGAGACAGATGATAAGAGACATTACAACTCCAGAATCTACAAGGTTTAGCAATGTGTGTGTGTTGGGGGGACGGAGAATAATAAATGATTTCAAAATACAGGCACACTTCATTTGATTATGCTTTACGTTATGCTTCGCAGCTTGCATTTTTTTACAGATTTAAAGTTTGTGGCAACCCTGCATTGAGCAAGTCTGTCAGCACTATTTTCCGACAGCATTTGCTCACTTTGTGTCTCTTTGTCACATTTTGGTAATTTTTGCAATATTTTGAACTTTATTATTATATTATGGTGACCTGTGATCAGTGATCATGACTCACTGAAAGCTCAGGTGATAGCATTTTGAAATTATTTTTTAATTAAAGTGTATACTTCTTTTAGACATAGTGCTGTTGTACGTAATAGACTACAGTATAGTGTATACATAACTTTTATCTGTACTAGGAAATCAAAAAATTCAGTCGGTTTTATTATGATACTCATTTTACTGTAATGGTCTGGACCAAACCCACAGTATCTCCACAGTATGCCTGTATTAAGACAGGTGACTGGGAAAATACTAGTGCCTCTAGGGAAATGGAGAGGAGGAACTAATTTTAAGAGGTGGTGCATTTGGTTTCATACCTGCTCTACAAGCTCCGAGGCTATTCCTGTTCGGGAGTAGGAAAGGTTCAGGCAGATTATCCACTTGGGTGGTTCCCCAGTAGGCAGTTGAAAATGTGGAATTGGAGCTAAAGACTGGTAAGGAGTCTTCCCACGTCCAGTGCTCAGAGTCAGACCAGCACCCCAACGTGGACCCTGAGTGCAATTGGGAAGGCATTAGTGCCAAGGGGCCACGATCCAGCTTGCTGGAAGGAAACCTGGGGACATCTGTAAGGAGAGGAATAGGAAGGACCTGAGGAGAAACAGTAAAGGAGGGTGTTATAGATCCTTTGGAGCCAAGGACTAGAACTGACTTGCAAGACCTCTACCAATGAGGGGTTTCATGAGCACACTCCTTTGCCAAGATCTTGGTGAATAATCTTTTACCATGTTTTTGTGTCTTGGACATTGTTTTACTTGTTATCATGATCATGCTTGGCTGGATGCTTTTTGTTGCATTTGCATGTTACATGGGCACATTTCTGGAGTTCACTCCTCCAACTCTGAAGTGGAAAGGGAAGTGGCCTGAGGAGAGCAAGGCACAACTGAGGACCCAGGCTTTGGATGAAGAACCGCAACTATGAGAACCATGTGGAAGGGATATAAGTATCCCCCAGTAAGAACCCTGGTGGAAATAAGCAAAGATGATCCTGGTAAAGCAGGATCAGATTACAAAAATAAATAATTTTTTTTTTAAATGGTAAGGATAATGAGAGACCTAGACTTTGGAATCAGCACTGAAATGGTGAGAGGGCAGAGGTAGAGGGTGTTAAATGCCAAGTCAAGATGAGATAGAACCTGTGAAACAGCTGCATCCATGCCAAGGATGCCTGAGCACTACAGAGAAAGCAGAAAGAGGGGGAAAGTGGACATTTTTGAACATCAACTATGTGCAACACCTTGCTAGATTCTTTACATGCATTATTTAATTTGATCTTCACAATCCAGTAAGGTCAGTAGTGGTGTCCCACTTCCCAGAGGAAGAAACAGACTGGGAAGACAAGTACTTTGTCCAAGATCACACCAGGACTCAGACTCAGACTATGTAACTTCAAAATGTGTGCACTTTCCTTGGCACAGTGTACTTCAGAAAGGTATGTATCCAACCAGAACACTGCCAAGGAATCCAAAGCAGTTATGAGGTTAAAAAAAGAAGTGGTAACTACCTTTCTGAGAACCTGGTATTTATCCTCTATTGAAGAAGGACGAGGGGGCGCCTGGGTGGCTCAGATGGTTAAGCGTCTGCCTTCGGCTCAGGTCCTCAGGGTGCTGGGATCAAGCCCCACATCGGGCTCCTGGCTCAGCGGGGAGCCTGCTTCTCCCTCTCCTTCTGCCTCTCTCCCTGTTCATGCTCTCTCTCTCTCTCTCTGTATCTCTGTGTCTCAAATGCATAAATAAAATCCTTTAAAAAAGAAAAAGGACAAGGACTGAAAAAAGCTGTGGCTTTGGCAATTAGGTGGTTGTAGGTGACCTTCAAGAAAGCAGTTTTTTTAGGATGATAAGTATGGAGACCAGATTGCAAGGACAACTACAGTAGACAGTTGTGAAGATACTAGACGTAGACATGTTGACCACTCTTTCCAATTTGGTTGGCAGAAGAGGAGAGGGAAGCGATTATAACCCTATATGACATGGTTAATCTACAGAAGACTTCTCAAGATAGTGGAAGCTTGGGCTTGTTGGTGGCAAGGAGCAAGGAAATGTCAGGTAGAGCACTTTGGGGAGTACTAGAGATACTGGGTAACTGGCAGGATGAGGGCCATGAAGAAACTGGGAATGTTATCAAAGGAAAATTTGCCTATTAATTTTTCTTCTCAAACCCCTTTCACCCACCTCTCCCACTGTTTCCTTCACATGTTTCTCTCTCCTTGCCTTAAATGTATTATTTGCTAACATTTTGCCTTCTTAATTTCAAAAGTGAATGAACCAAACCTTGTATATTTCTCCTTCCAAAAATCCATGTTAGTATTATTGATTTATTACTTGCTCTGATTGAGTCTTACCCTGCTCCACTGCAGGTCCTAGGAGAATTAAGTGTAAGGCAGCATTTCTAAGCTTGACCTATATACAGCCATTATGTTTAATTCTGGTGACTAACTTTTTTTCATATTCATGAATTTTACCTTCCCTGCCTTCTCATCTTTCATGACCCACAAATCATTCCTAGGGCCATATGCATGTACTTCACACACACACACACACACACACGTTTCTACATGAAAATAAGAGACTTCCCATTGTTCTAGAAATTGTGTTTGGACAATACATAAGCAGTACTAAACCAGGAAAGATGTCTACCATAAGTGAGGTGAATTTGAAACTGTTTCCTTACCAAAACATAATCTCCTTCAGCCAAGGGTATTGTTTAGATTACTTTTGTCTCCCTAGTGCCAAACATTCAATCTGGCACTTAGTACTCAGTATTCATAGAATAAATCAAATGAATGAATGGATAGGAACGACTTAAATAAATCGTTGTTGATGTTATGGACTTAAACATAGAATTGGTAGCACTGGTAAAATGGCTTTGCACAGGAAAAAACAAAAATCGTTACTTACTATAATGAGTGAAAGGAAGGACAGTAACCCTGTGTCTCTGTAATGATTCATATTTTCCAGGGTGGTTATGGTCTGATAAGGGTATGACTATTTAGCCTAAAAGGAATCGCTACTTTTAACCAAATCTAGCATTGCTTTTTTGCAAATAGATTGTTAAAAAATCTTTAATGAAATTAATGAAAAACAGTTAAAGCTAGATGTAAATGTGACATTGTTTTTTTTAACTCCTATAATTATAAAATTAGTGAATATTTAAATTTTTTAAATGTTTCTTTGATTGAAAAACTTGATTCCAAATACTGCTTTTCTCTTACCTTCCATGGACTTTATCTTTTATCTTCTGTGGACTGATAAAATAGAAGAATTGGTTAAAGAGCAGTTAATTACCAAGTATGTATGGTATTGTACTAAATCTTTTATTTATCTGGTACATCACAGACAGAATTCTGGAGAATTCTTTGAATGTTTTACATGTTGGTATTTGTTGAATTGGAAGCATTTATCAAATATTAATGGATCCTAATGGAAAATTTTACTCTAGAGGCAAACGCTTCCTTTAACTAGTTTTATGAATGTATTTTATTAACTAGTCTTGCAAAGTTGAATCAAAGTTTTAAGGAGAAAAAATGATTATTCCCATGTGTATCGAGTTTGTTAAATTCAAGATCCTAATCGCCTGGTGTGTTTTTCCTCTGTTGTCTTTAAACACTTCCGTTTAGATTGTTTATTATAGAGGCTTAACACCTTTTTAATATTCTTCCTGCCGCTGACTTTTCTCATTCTGATAGTTCTAGTTAACTGTAAAGTCACTTCTTGGAGGCAAAATTCAAATGCTTCCATTTTACTCCTTGTCTAAATATTTTTTACAAAGCTTTAGAGAAGATTTTAAGGCCAAAGGGTAAAATGGGGCTTGATGTTCTATTATTGCTGTTTGTGTTGTTCCACTATGCATTTTGAATGAGGAGTTTGAGAGTTGGCTTTCTGTCATTTTAGTACAGCTAGAAAAGGTATACTCTTGTCTTAAAAGACGAGGCATATCAAAATATACACAAGGTTTAATACTGAAAATTCCACTGGAGCAAAAATACTTGAGAAACTACAACAAACTGCTTGGTGAACACCTGCAATTACTGTGGAAATGAAATCATGTTATAGTAACTGAATTGCCTGTACTATTTCAGAGTTCCATTTATTTACAGATTTTTCTTTCCATTGAGTTTTTCAACCCCCCCCCACCCCGTTATGATGTTGTTCGTCATATGGAGGTTTTTAATTACAGTGAGTGGCAAATCAGTTGCACTGCAAAAATGTTTTGTAAGAATAAAGCAGTCACCAGGTTATAACTAGTATTCTTATGGTTTAATTGCAGAGAAAAATGTTGCTCATCTGAAAACAGATTTACACACTTTTCACATGTTCCCAGTTCCTAAAACTATAAAATTAAATGCCACTAATTCTCTGCAGCTAAGGTTATACATTAAGATATATGGTTATGCAGTTGATCCTTGAATGTAGTGGGGGCTGGGGCACTGACCTCCCCCCCCCGCCCAGTCAAAAATCCACATGTAACTTTTGACTCCCCCTAAACTTTACTAATAGCCTGTTGTTGACTGGAAGCCTCACCAATAACGTAAACAGATGATCAACACATACTTTGTTATACGTATTATATATACTGTATTACTACAATAAAGTAAATTATCAAGAAAATCATTAAGAAGAGAAAATACATTTATAGTACTGTACTATATATTTAAAAAAAAAAACTCCGTGTATAAGTAGACCCATGTAGTTCAAACCCATGTTGTTCAGGGGTCAACTGTACATTAAAAGTAGACGTAGGGGCATCTGGGTGGCTCAGTAGGTTAAATGTCTGCCTTCTGCTCAGGTCATGATCCCAGGGTCCTGGGATCGAGCCCCGCATTGGGCTCCCTGCTCAGTGGGAAGCCTGCTTCTCTCTCTTCAACTCCCCCTGCTTGTGTTCCCTCTCTGGCTGTGTCTCTCTCTATCAAATAAATAAATAAAATCTTTAAAATAAATAAAAAATATACGTATGTATGTAAGTAGAAGTAAAGGAATGCCTGGGTGGCTCAGTCGGTTAAGCATCTGCCTTCGGCTCAGGTCATGATCTTGGGGTCCTGGGATCAAGTCCCGCATTGGGCTCCCTGCTCAGCAGGGAGCCTGCTGCCTCTGCCACTCCCCCTGCTTGTGCTCTCTCTCTCTCTCTCTGACATTTTTTTAAAAATCTTAATAAATAAATAAAAGGAGTAAAGATACGTATTCTTTCCTCAAGGGAAAAAAAATGCACATTTGGAAAAAAAAGAACTTCTTATGTAATTGGAAGGAATATATAAACTCTTATATCTGAGATTAAGATGAGGAAGTAGAGTCAGCAAATGTAGATTTCTCTGTTGAGAAACTTAATCATAAGGGTAGGAGAGAGATTGAACAATTTGTTTTGACAAGACACTTAAGCGTGTTAATAGGGTGTGGAGAAGGAGCCAGTAAAGAAAAATAACCTGAAATTGAGAATGAGATGGAGGGGCGATACATACCATGGAACAGGGTTCCGGGGGAGGCACAAAGAAATGGGACCATGGTCACAGGCAGATGGAATAGCTTGAACAGGGGAAAACAACTACATCGTCTGAGACTGGAAGCAAGTAAGTGAGGAATAATGTGGCTATAGGTAAATTTGTAAGTAGAAGGGAGAGATTTTAAATCATGCCTGACAACTTCATTTTTCATGAAGTAGGATATGAAGTTGGTCGGGTAGAGAGTGAAAATACTGGTTACAGAGTAATCATTAGGAGGATCTGGAAAAGGCTCTGTGCCAAGGCCAGAGAATATTGGCCAGAAGAGGCCAGAGATTGTGGATTTGTAGCGGTAGCAGTCTCCTTCCTCCCACTGCCCTCCCCGCAGGGGTTTGTAGCCATCCTGCTTGTGGCTGTGCAGAAAGCAGCTCGTGGCACCGATGTCAGCTTGTAGCTGTCGTGACTAGGGAAGCTAAGACAAGGAGGCAGGA